GATCACTCCTTTGCAGCCCTATCCCTTATCTCTAGCTGATGGCGAAGAAAATAAGAGAAAACCCTAGGCTGGGTGCGCAGATAACAGAATTCTGGGCAGATCCGATTTGCTCAGTTCAGCTCTGATACCATGTTAGTGTTCGGTCTGCCTGTTAGACTGATAACAGTCAAGGAAGAGAGAGACAAGAGAGAAGGAGAGAAAGAGAGAAAGGAGAAGAGCAGAAGAGAAACAAGGAGAAAAGATTCTGGTTCGAATGAGAGAAAAGTTCACTCTCCCATTCGGCCAGATGTATTTTATATTACTAAATTAATGTGGAAAAGTCACATATGCCCCTACTTAAGTTAGGGACATTAAATCTAACAAAAACTTACACATCAGCACCTAAACACAAGCACAAAGACAGAATTACCCCTACATACTCGACACTAAAACTCTCTTTGACAACTTCTAAGCTGCTAGACACCTCCCCAAAGCTGTAACCCACAAGCAGAAAGAGACTTTTAGAGGAGCCACCGTTTTCCAAACCAAGTCCTCAGGAAAATTAGCTTCTACCTCAGAACAAATACTTTTGCAGAAGGATTTGACTGTGAAAGAACCTGATTTCTCCCCTAACCAAATCCTCTTGTCCCTCCTGCTATCCACCCTCACAGCATTCAGGATCTGCATTATTTCTTCCCACTGTTCCACTTCCCAATCGTTTAGGTTCCTTCTGAAGCTAGGACACCATACCTCTGCCCCTCAATCCTGAGATAACACCTCCAACACCATGCAATCCTTGCTAAGAGCAATCTCAAAAATAGTTGGGAATCTGTTCTTAAGAGGGCTATCCCTGCACCAGACCTCATACCAAAAGCTGACTCTTGACCCCGTCTCCTACTCTCCTACTTCCATCCTGATTCCTTGCCCAAAATCCTTCTCTGCTCTCTGAATGCCCCTCCACACCGCACATCCATACAGAACATTTGATTCTCCTGGATCCCAGTTAGAGTTCCTTGAACCATACCTAGCCTCTATTACTCTTCTCCATTGGCTTGTGACATGTTCATTCCACCTCCAATACCATTTCCCTAGACAGGCTAAGTTGAACTTTCTTAAATCCCTTAAGCCCAACCATCCAGCCTTTCTTGACTTACACACTTTAATCCAATTGACTAAATGAAATTTAAACTCATCCCTCCACCCCTACCACAGAAAATCTTTCATTGTCTTCTCCAAAATCTTGGCCATGCTAGCCGGAATAGGGAAGAGAGATAATAAATAAGTAGGAAGAGAAGACAAAACACTTTAATAAAATTAATTTACCTCCCTTCGATAAGTATCTTGATTTCCAAGAAGCTAGTTTCCTCTCCATTCTTTCCACCACAGGTTCCCATATCTTCTTAGATGTGCATTTTTCTCCCAGCAGCATTCCCAAATACTTCAATGGAAACTCCCCAATCTTATAGCGTACTCTATCTGCCAACACTTCCAGATTATGGCCAGCCCCCACTGCCAATAATTCACTTTTGTGCAAGTTAACTTTAAGCGCAAAGACCACTTCAAACCAAACTAATATCATTCTTATTCTTTCCATTTGGTCTTCTGATGCCTTGGCAAAGAATGGGTGTCATCTGCATACTGTAACAGAGCAACCCCCACATCTTCTCCACCTTAAAACCTTTGAGGAGACCTCCTTCAACTGTCTTGGTCACCCTCATGCTCAGAGCTTCCGATATGCAGATAAATAGCAGGGGGAAGAAGGGATCACCTTGCTTTAATCCCCTCAAACTCTGAAACCTTCCTGCCAATACCCCATTTATCAAAATTGAAAAGCTAGCTGTGTATGCAAACCTTATTCCAATTTCTCCACCTCCTTCCAAAATTGAACCTTTTAAGCATGTAGTCCAAAAACTCCCAATTTACGTGGTCATACGCCTTCTCCATGTCAACTTTCTCCACTTCTTCTCTTGGAATCAATGAGCTCATTAGCCACTATAACTCCATCAAAAATTTGCCTCCCATCTACAAAAGCTCCCTGAGAACTTTGTACACGCTGCTAACAAGGCTTATAGGTCTGAATTTTTTAGACCAACTGCCCCTTTCTTTTTGGGGATCAAAGATAAAAAAGTAGAGTTCAGGCTTCTCTCAAATGTTCCATTATGATGGAACTCCTGGAACACCTCCATTAGATCCTTCTTTATGAAGCTCCAACTTCTTTTAGAAAATCCCATTGTAAACCCATCCGGCCCTGGTGCTTTGTCACCTCCAATTTTTTCAATTGCAACTCTTACTTCCTCTTCTGCAAATTCTGCTTCCACTTGACTTGCCTCTAGTTGGGAAAGACTCTTAAACAGCAGCCCGTCCAACTTCAGTCTCCTCCTCCATCATTCTTTATAAAGATTTTCATAGTAATTTGTGGCTATTTCCCTAATCCTTCCTTCCTCTTCAATCACTTCCCAACTTTCCTCCAACCTTTTGATAGTATTTACCCTTCTTCTCCCGTTTGCTATTTTACGAAATAAAGCTGTGTTTTTATCCCCCTGTTTTAGCCATAAGCATCTAGAGCATTGTCTCCACTTAACCTCTTCCTGGAAGCACAATTTGTCAAAGTCCAACTTTGCCCTTGCCCTCCTTTGTTTCTCTTCTTCTGCAATTCTTCTCACTTCCTCCACTCTATCCACCTCTACATTTGCCTTAGGAACTCCTGTTTTTTCACCTCTAAACCTTTAAACACCTGCCTCTTCCATTTTTTTCAACTCTGACTTTACATAAGAGATCTTACAAAAAGCATGGCTTGCTGTTCCAGTTACTGTACATTCCTCCCACTACCTTCTATTCTGATCCAGAAGTCCTTCCTCTTCCAGCCACATATGTTCGAATCTGAAGGGGGGGGAGGGGTTAGTTGTCACTGTTCCTTTGCAATCCAACAGAATTGATGAGTGGTCTGATAAAGGACAGGGCAGGTTAGGGAAATTCTCCTCCCAGACAGTAGAGACTACAAATCTGTCCAGTTTTTCTAAAACTGGGTCCTCCTGGTTGTTTGTCCAAGTATATCTTGCCCCCGCTAAAGGTAAATCCACTAGCTCCCATCTTCTCATAAACTGTGAGAAGATATGTTCCATACAGCTAATAAGTAATCATAAAACTGAAAATTATTATACATTTTGTGATACTAATATGTAAAAAGATAAGATTATCATGCAGAAAAGTATAATGTACCAAAAATACAAAATAGGCTTCCCTAACTGGTCTGTGCCATACAGTTAATAATAAATTATGTGCATACTTCTAGGAAAATCCAGAAAATATCTAAATAATCAAGAATAGGTATTTAGGATCTTGACAGAAGAAAAAATGTGCAAAGGTTTTGCTTGCAGGTCAACAGAACATTTCCCAATGTATCAGTAAAATGCCTGTCTTTAATTCAGCATAAATGGGAAAATTAAGTGATAAACACACAAGAATGTCATAGCATCAAACAGTACAACCATCCGGTTTGACCATTCAACTTGCTTAAATAAAGAAAAGAAAGGGGTTCTGAACTTCAGATTATCTTTTAAAACTATTTTACATCAAAATAAGCATAAAACAACAAATATTAAAGGTTACAACACCTATTAATACATGTACTAGTTAATGACCCTACACTCAATACAGGGAAAATTACAGAGGTTTGGGGTGAAGGATAATAGTCAACAAATATGGGCTGAGGTCAATGGGGTGGGAAGCGATGCAAATACATAAGAGAGGTGTAATGCAAATCTGTGGTGAACTTAACTAATATATCACCTTCAAACCTGGAAATTGTGAACATACACAATTCAGGATGTCTGGATTGAAAATAAGGGATTATGTTTGGCATACTCCGACTCATACAGTATTGCTTTTTACTACAAAGCAACCATGAATCAATTAGGAATACTATGACTTGGTGTGTGGCAATGTGGTATAGGCACATCAGCCTACAAGGAATATAAATGACTGGGAAACAGACTCCCTTTTAGGTCTGTTGGAGCTCCTTAAGCAGGCTAAAATCTAGATGATTCTCCTGATATCAGACAGTGCAGTGGTGATGGCAGGAGCTTCTTCTCAATCGAATCCTTTTACTCAGCATTGGAACAACAGTCAGACAATTTTGCCTCTTTAAGATGGCTGAGTCCATGTATCCTCTAAAGTTTCATTCTTCATACCCACTGCTTTGGACAGATCATTGACCATTGATCACTTAATCAACATGGGCAGACATATCAATGATGTATGCAGTTTGTGCGGACAACATGAGGAATCAATTCAGCACCCCCTCATTCATTGCAAGTTGTCCCTCCCTCCCTCACTCAAGCTGTTCAGACAGCACTATGTGGTCTCCAAAGATAACCATATGTTGATAAACTTGACCTATTTCCCATTTGCTGGAATATGTGGAAAACAAGGAACATGAGGGTTTTTTAAGATAAAACGGGCTACTCCTAAGAGAATCATTGGGCAAGTCAAGGACACTCTCTGACAATAAACGTTCATTCTTAAGGATTTTGAGCTTACGTCAGAGCACTCCAGAAGGAATTGGACTCTGTAATTTTCAACCATTCCTTGGTTTCCTAGAAAGGCTTTGTTTACTTTTTCAGTTTTCTATCCTGTTTGTTTTTGGTCATTCTATATAGAAAGACTAAAATACCTTATAAGTGAGAAAACAGAATTTCTCAACAGAAATAACATGTACCTTTCTGATAACTTCATGCTTTATTTGATAGTTGGCTGCTTCCAACAGCATCTTCCCTGATAATCTCCTCGCTAACTACCATTGAAGGCAAACAAATTTACAAATCCACCAGAAAAATAATAAGTGAACAGTATGTGGACTTTTTTCATACCAATTGATATATCTTTGCCAAAGTAAACATACCACCACCCTGAAAAAGTAAATTAAATTAAAAATTAGGAGAAAGATACAATGATCATAGGTAAATGCTAATTTTAGAAGCAAAAGTAACCACAACCTTGAAAACCACCGACTGGAGTTCCTTCACCCCAACTTTCAATGCAGAAATTGCTAGCACCTTCCACTTACTCAGTCCAAGTTCTAGACTACCATGACCATCAGAAACTCTTTCCAATGAGCAAGGAATAGTGCTATCCTCTCCACTGTGTATAGATTATCAAAAGATTTTATGACATTAATGTGATGAATACTATATTTCTAATGAAAATAAATGCATTTTCAGACATACAATAGGAATCGTCTTCACTAAAAAAATTTAAAATTTTCTAATGATCATTAATATTAAAACATTATGTCACATGGAACCACAATGAGCTTGTATTCGGGGACTGATATTCCAAGCTAGAGCTTTATTGATATCTTTTCATCTGCTGCAAACTGGCAAAGTTTCAATTAAAAGAAGCAAGGGAAAATATATAAAACTTAAAAAGATGACGTAAAAAATGGGCATCAGAACAAAAAAGGAGATTTAATTGCATGCTCTACAAGCACTCAGCATATACAAGCCCTAGTGGAAATGAACTCACAATACCATCTTTCCTGCATAAGCCCCAACCTAGCAAGTCTAAACCTAGGCAGAATGTTCTGTCCTAGGTTCAGCCAGAGAGAGAGAGAGAGAGAGAGAGAGTCTTCAGACAAGAAGCAGTTATAAGTGAACATAAAATCAAGTGGAAACTGATAACTTGAAGGGGATTAGTACAACCCAATTCCACTTAAAGTGCAAGCACTTGGCTGGTTGGTAGCATTAGACACCAAATTAATGTTAGACCATTTGAAAGCCAGAGGACTGAAGTTACCAAACAAATGCACCATGAGAAAGAGCAAGAGAACACTAATCATCTATGGACCTGTCATCAGCAATCCTGCAGAGATAATTTCATTGTGGCCAAACATGTCAAGAAAGGTGAAAATCTTTCCGGAGTATCATCACCTTTGCTGAATGTTGGAGTATCTGGAAGGAGAGAAATAAGTGCACTTTTCAAGAAAACTTAGTCTGAAAAGAAAGATAGCTATAGTTTCTTCTCTCACCTGAGAATGGGCCCTTTCTCATTCAGAATTTAAAGGATTTAGTAGAGAGGATTTCAGGGATAGCCTATGGTTGAATGTAGCAGAGGTTACTATTAATATTTGATTTGTATTTTCTGATTTCTTGTTGTTCTGGTGTTTGTTTTTGGAATGCTCCTTGATCTGAAAGCTCTTCACCAGCACTTATGACACTTTAATCCTTTCTTATTTTATGAAAAAAATCCTCACTTTCAGAAAAGAGGTGGATAATAAATAGACCACAACCTAAAAGAGAAAATACTTATATTAGGCCAAAAGTATTTACAAGTTACAATTACACAAACGCTCCTGTGAGGGTCTAAACAGAAAATATAAAAGATACAAGAGACCGTAAAGCAATAAGGAAAAGGATCAAAAGAAAAGAATACTACAATATACATAACCACATAGGCAGCATTCCTTATATCAGTCTAGGTAGTAGCATTATAAGTCTTTATCTTCTGGTAGTGAAGTGTGGCACACCACATTAAACAGTCATATTTCCTTTGGGTCATTGAAGCTGTTATTTCCTGAATTGTGTCTGTGTATTGTCAAGTCTTCCATATGAAATTTTTCAACATGCCAAGCATTGTAGAACATCATAGTTGTCAAGCAATGAAGGACTTTCTTTTCCTTTTCATCTTGCTGGATGATATTTGGCAACCTTATTATTTTCATACTATGGGAGGTTAATACTATTTTATTTTGTTTGTAGAAGATAATTATTGTTTCATGTGATTGTATTCATTAAACAAATGGAACGGAGTACCTCAGATTATTAAGAATTTCTATGCTATGGTGGAAACCCGAAAAATAAAATATTTCATTAAGATAATGCCAAATTGGATGATGCAGTGTAGACCAAGGTTTAAAGTATCAATACACTTGAAATGAAAAGAAAAAAGTGTATGAAGAGTTTCAATCAAAAAAAAACTCTATCTTTTTTTCTTTATCTGATAATTTGTCAGGGCTGATCATATGTCCTCTTTTATTGGTTAAGGCCAATGAAATAGCCTAACTCAAAGGAAATAGCACATCTGTAAGGTCAAAAATTGATACATATGGTATGATACACACTGAATATGTGCTGTTGGGACTGGTATCTAGTCTCAAGGAGGGTATGGACACTCTCGGTCCACGGGGATCCTGGCCCATTTCCTTTCAGGTAGTAAGATTTTCCACCTAAGTGGAACTCCATAGTCATATTCTCCCAATCGCAAATGACTCAGCCTAATTTATGTAACCATTGCACCCCCAAAATTACATCAGCTCCTGAAAATTGTAACAGGTATAGGTATAGGTCCACGGTCCACCTCAAATAGGTTTCCCTGTATCTTCAGCTGCACCCCTTCACAGAGACCATCACAAGCAATTTGGCCCCCATTGGCTGCCCTGACTACAAACATCTCAGTGTGGTGTATTGCCAGGCCCGGTTGTTTAGAGAGCAGTTGGAATACAAAATTGAGCAAGCTGCCGCTATCAATGAGAATAGACACAGGCAGCCCATTAAAGTCCCCCTAACATGCATAGATCTCAAAGAGATTTAGCCTATTAAGACCTATAAAT